AAAAAATCTGGTTGCTAGCTACCCGTACAAGGAACCTGATCGCTAGCTTTTTCTGGAAAACAAAATGATCGCTAGTGCAAAATCGACTTGTTAGCTTTTGCCTCTGATCATTATACATTTACAAGGACATCTCCCATAGCTAGCTTCTAGGCTACCAACGATTTATTTTATTTTTTGCCTTTTGGTTTTGCATTTTTCACTATTATATTGTATAATTAATTTTCAGTAAAGAACAAAATTTTATCAACACATATTTCAAAAACCGAATTTACATAAGTTTTTTCAAATTGTAAGAAAATTTTAACGAATACCAAAAATATTCTAATATATGGTGAACAATGCTTTAATATATGATGATCATTTTCTGAATACACACTATTTTTTTTTCCAGTACACACTGAACATTGTTTTTGATATACACGAACTTTTTAGTATACGATGAACTGAAAGTGAACTTTTTTATATACATTGAACTAAAAGTGAACAGGAAAAAACAAAATAGATAAATAGATAAATAACAAGAGAACAAAAAATAAACACATTTTGATTTGCTTTAAAAAAATTGATCAACATGAACAATTTTAGAAAGTGAACTAATTTAAATTTTTTGAAACATGTATTGAAACTTGCGAATTTATGAACAAACAAAAAAATATCAGAATATGAAAAAAAATGATATCAACTTTTGAAAAATAGAAAAATAAAAAGGAGATGAAAAACAATGAAGAAACATGGTAAATAAAAAAGCAGAAAGAACATGAAGAAAATGAAACAAACAAAAAAAAGGTATCCTAACTACTTGGGCCGGCTCATCTGCAGTGTGTTCGCTGACTAGGATGGACTCGAAACTAGGAAAATAATATTGGACCCCCAATGGCAAGTCGAGGGTGGACTCTCAATTGGGAACAAAAAAGGTCGGGCCCCAGTTGCGAGTCGAGTTTGGACTTGCAACTGGGGACAAAAATGGTTGGACCCTAATTGCGAGTCAAGGGTGGACTTGCAGCCGGGACTAGAAAGGGTCGAGCCCCAGTTGCGAGTCGATGGTGGACTTGCAACTAGGGAAAAGGTCGTCACCAGTTACGAAACGACGGTGGACTCGTAACTAGGACTAAAAAAATGTCGGGCACCAGTTGCGAGTCGAGGGTGAACTTGCAACTCGGAAAAAAGGTTGAGCTGTAGTTGTGAGTCGAGGGTGGACTTGCAACTCGGGCAAAAAATGTTGGGCCCTAGTTGCGAGTCGAGGACGAACTTGCAACTCAGACAAAAAGGTTGGACCCTAGTTACGAGTCGAGTGTGGACTTTCAACTCAGACAAAAAAGGTTGGGCCCCAGTTGCGAGTCCACGACGAACTTGCAGCTCGGACAAAAAAGG